GGCAGATTCACGACAGTTGAAACGGAAGCAACTAGGAACGAACGAAAACGAAGGAAGGGACCGAAGCGCAGTCAACTCTCCTTTAATATCGCCCTATCGGTCACTTCAAGACATTACAAAATGGTTCGAACTTGACAAAACATAACTAACATGAATTAATGGGACTTATGTTGATGGCGGATTCCCTTACCACTCATGTCTATAGTTGGACGTATTGCATGAATGGCTCTTCAGAAATAGCAGAAACAGCTAAATAGAGCTTTGTGCCAAATGATACGAAGTCTTGGCATTAGTCTTTGTGTTGTAGATGAAAATATTTCAGCTTATTCCCACTAGTTTACTAAGCTCACAGCTAGACATTTTTTAGCTCGATGCTTTCCTATCAATCTGCTTATTTTTAGCCGGTGAGCGTATCACTGTTCCTTGTCACCGTAGTATTGTACGGCATGTCAGCCGTCGTATTCGCTGCGCTAATATCATCTCTGTTCAAGTCACCAAACACTGTCCTCAAAGGTGTGTTATTATTCAAAGAGAACGAGCAGCACTGTCGCAAGACATGCATGCTATACAGTGGAAATTGGACGGAGATCTAGGCCTAGATCGTGCCTTGCAGCAAATGTGTCTATGGCATTTTCAGTGGGAAACTGGGAAGGAAGGTTACTGGTCGAGCAATGCAGGACCTTGAGCCAAGGCCTCCGTCAAGTTCTTCGTTGTAGACGAACCGCATGAACACCACATGCTGCTTTACCTATTGATTTAGTGGTAATTGTGTTATGGGTGATACTGGTTGGAGCACCGTTCAGAGCTCCGCGTGTCGATCAAATATTCTTCTGCACACTTTACTCGCTGAATCCAAACGCGGCTTTCTCATACGCTCTGAAGACGTTTGCGGATTACATGAATCGAGGCAAGTATATCCTGGTTTCAGTCACAACACTTATCAAATGGAAATATAAACAGGGAATGATTATCGTTTTAGGGCGTGAATTGTCGTGGTCCAATTGTTTCGAAGATGGCTCCTTCCATTTCACTGTTGGAGCGGCTTTGGTGATGTTAGTGGTGGATATAATTTGGATGAGCGTGGCAACGTTGTTCTTCGATTTCATGTTCAGTGACAGCGATTTCACGTTTTTCAAGCTGCCGTTTGGTAACAGTGTAAGCTCAAATTTTCTTGCTTTTTCCATATGAATCATGGAATCTTTAAATTCTCCATTAAATTGTTGTTGCCTAGGAATTTTATCCTTGAGTTCTTTCTTGTCATTCAAAAATACCTTCAGTACCTGAGCTCTTCTGCCACTCGTCTAGAACAGGATGATGGCAACAATGAGACCGATGAAGGGTTGCTGAGAACACGAGTTGGTATTTCAGTGCAGCGACTGATGAAGGTAGGCCAAGATATTCGCCCTGTATGTGCGAAAGAGTTTTGGCTCAAAGAATAACTCAGTTTTTCTTTCATTCTCGATTTTCGGCTTTGAAAAGGTTGTGACCGGATGCCGCGAGGTTGGAGAGGGGCGATGTCAGCGAAGGCACCCTTCCCTCAAGCTAAGGCAAGAAGGGCAAGAAGTGCGCCGACGATGTTGTTTTCTTATTGCCCCGACCCATTGAACCCTAACGGTATCTTCAAGGCGCTCTAATTTATGAAAATGAGGACAGTGTTGAATGTCGCAAATGGGGTTTTCCTGGAACACGTTTTTGTGCACAGGTTCATCTTCAGAGGCTTCAGATTTTATTCTCTTTGGGCCTAATTTTTTTGTGTGCAACTGACCAGGAAAGGTCAACAGGTCAGCCCGGCCATTTCCAGTGAGGTGCATACCGCGTCTTGAGACAGTGAACTCAAATCTACTTTCAAAATTTGCGGAAGCGATTCTCCGAACAGAGTTATAGAGAGTTTCATCCCCGCGTGGTTGTTTTACTGTTGTAGCAAGGGAACGTATAAGCATCCTTACGTAGATGTGGAGAGTCGCTCTGAAACGTATACCAGAGCGCAACAGGTAGTGAACGGGTCTCCCAGGGGAGAGGTTGTGGGATCGGTTTCCGTGAGTTCACCTACTTTCATATTTCGAGAACATGGCCGACAAAGCTTCTAACATTCTGCTCGCCTGCACTAGCCAAGGGGGGACTGCAATCATTTTTTTCGAAAATGTAGACTCATTTTGTCCCGGAAGGGTACTTGTGCGTTTCCTTCGCAACCCAATGTCACAATGGTTTTTGCAATGAAATAGTATGATATTCATGTTGCGCGGGTCAAATTACCTCTGGGGAAGTTTCCAGCCAAATCTGATATTTCAACCTAACTTGGAAAATGTGGGCTATTCTATGGGTAATTAGCAGCAGGCTGGAGCTCACCTACCATCGGTGACTGGTCTCGGGATGGAGTCTCCCTGTCAGGAAAATGATGTAGACAGTGCGAATGAGTGAGCCAGACATTGTTTTTCCCGAAAAGACATACTGAAGAGTTATTTCAGCTCGAACACCAGTCATTACCAGTAGGATAGTTGTAGTCTTTGTTTGCTACTAGTCGCCATGACAAACCTAATTCTACTTTTTCGGACGTTGCTAGGAGTTATTTGTTCTGGTGAACTCGAATATGGTAGCTGCTTCGCGAAATGAGCGTTTTGTGTACTAGTGCTTCGGCGTCAGCGCGCTGTGAGGAAAAAACAGTAGAGAGAAGCCTCCAAGCCCAGGGGTCGTTCCGCAAGTTCTGAAGTAGATTTGAGTCCAAAGATGACGAGTACAACGGTGTTCACCTCATCGAATTGCATATGCCGGCCTAACCTTCTGACTTTCCTGGTAAGATTAATAATGCACTGATTGGCTTTTTGATTCTCGGCTTCCAATTATTTTCTACTGAACATTAAGTGGATAGCTTCAGATTCACTAACATGCGTTTTTAAGGTTTGGTCTTCAACGGGAGAGCGCGCCGTGGATGAAATGTCTTTGGAAGCCTACGTAGGGCAGGTGCGTTTTATGTTCACTGCTACGATTGGACTTATCTGAAGAATTCGCAGTCGTAAATTGCTCAAATGGCCTGAAATTTTATATCCATGCAGCTGGTGGCATTCCCAGTATGATCATGGCTGATTGGATCCATCCCTAAACGAATTAGTAGTACAAAGAATAGCCTGATTTTCGTCCTCTCAACAACATTGTTTAGCTCAGTGTGTAGTGACAATGTGAACCTTTGAATGTTTATTTCGAATAAACTCAAAACTCACCAAAATCAGCAGTTTTTGATATATATTATTTGCCAATATTAGTTCGAATTGCTAGCACCTTCGTCCTGCCTGAATTATTTAGGTCGTTTTGTTAGATAACTGATACCTATACAGAAGAACAACTCACACTGCCCCTCAAAGGCAGTTGGCACGATGGTTTCCTACTTAGCCTAAAAGTGATATTAGGGCACTGTGTAGTGGAGAAATGGTGAAAGAACGGAGTGAAACGGTTAAAATCTCGCGAAGAAAAATCCTTCGTTTTCAGTGACTTGTAAAATCGATTTCGGACGAGTTTCCGTAGATCTTTACCATTCAACCGCCCGGAAGTACGGCCCTGCCATATGTGTACCCATGTTATGCATGCCAGCCTATCACGGCCGCTTCATACCAACTCCTTCGTCTTTATAATTCTGGCTTTCATTAGCAAAGGACATCGAATACGAGCTCCAGGGAACTCGGTCGTTCGTTTAAGGTGGGGCGGCGTGGCGGGCGTTCTGGACCGGTACAAGGTTGCTGGCTTGATAGGGCTCTTATAAGGGCACCTTGCTCGGGGAAACCGCTATGCAGCGCCTGCCCAGCGTCGCGCGGAATTCTATCCTGCCAGGAGTGTTGATCCTAGTCGTCTTGGAGGATTTATCATGCCAATTGCCTTCAACTCAATCCACTTACCTTGCTGCTGAAACATTGTTTAGGTTACTGTACTCCTTGGACACAATGGCGCTGGTAAAAGTACTACCTTCTCGGTTATCTCAGGAATCACGGCTCCAACAGCAGGTGCGGCTCGCTGAAAGAGCACATTATGTACATGGTGGACATATTTATACTTCTACCTATGATTCGCTAGAAATCTTTCCCAAATGAGTTTTTGAAAAAGTATCTTCAGTGAAAACGTGTTAGATACACATGCGAGTTTGCTTGTCGGGATCGTATTTCATTCTAAAAGCAACAAACTTTTATCTTAATTTTTGGAAAACATTGACTTTGGCATAACAATAATTTGGCATAATCATACTTCCACTCGATAAATTACTGTCAACAATGAAATCGCAACAAAAAAGCATAACATTGCCTAATTTGTAGATTCTGTGAGGCTCATCTTCCTCCGATGGACTTCCAAAACCCCATATTATCCATGCTGAAAAAGAGCATATCGAAAAACGTCGATCGACTTGTCGCCACGCTTCAATGATTGCCTTCTCGAAGTCACCACTTCCTGTGAGCGAGCGTTATGGGCACTAATCTTTTGTATCGTGAAACTCCACACTTTTTCCGTTGGGTACAGGTCGGGACTGTAGGATGGCAGGGCAGAAGAGCAGCGGTGACTAGGCTTGGGTGATAGGGCCATCTGAATAGCTGCATTGTCTTGCGCATAGCCAAGATTCTTATCGGTTTCGGCACCGAAAGAAGGGAAACGGTATATGATGTTGTATAAACTGGAGAACTCATCTTCGTCGACGAATCACGGGTTCAGACGTTTGCTGAAGTGATTGCAGCCCAGACCATGATACCGCCTCCTTTGAGGTTCTTCTTAGAAAACTGAAGCTTATCGTTCCTGAGATCATGCCAGTGATATCGATGGTCCGTCGCAGTCAAACTTTTCTCAACAGAAAACGCAACCTAAAGCAGATCGGTTGTACGACGGTACCAGACAACAGTAGCGCAGAGAAGAATTTACCCACGATATTTCTGACGAAAAACACGTTTTCGTAGAGTGTTTTTGTTTATGATGAAGTTAGACTTCTTTAGCACCTGCCAAAGGGCTTCGTCGAGACACTGAACTTCAAAGAAGATCTGATGTCCGCACATGACTTGCTCTTTTCAAGATGCGGTTCTTATCCTGGTCAGTAAGCAAGGAAGAGTGCCCTGACTGCTTTTGTTCCATATTTCGCAAAATCATTCGCGGAACTGTTGAGAGCTGGATGACCCAAATTGCGCGCTATTTGACGGTTCGACAAGCCCTAGTTTTTGTTGCTGAGCTTAGGCCTTTTTCGAGGTCTGGCAGAAACGATACGTAACTAGATACCACGAGGTAGAAGTAAGATTATGCCAAATGAGTCCATGTCAATATTTTCCAAAAAATCCAGATGAAAAGGTTTGTTGCTCTGGAATGAATTTTTGTCCTGATGAGCAGCCTGGCATTTTTACCTGAGACGTTTTCACTATGGAGACTTTTAAAATTTATTTGGATGAAACGATTTCCAGAGAATCATAGGTGGCCGTACAATTATGTCCAGCAGTGTAAATAGATGTTCAAACTATACAGTTCCTTTCATTCATAGGCATGGGCAGTTCCTCGTAGTCATGGTTTTCTTTTATTTAACTGTCGATCTAGTGATGAGTTGTTCAGGAACGGTTTGCATCTACGATCTCGACATACAAAAGCAACGATCAGCGTGTCGTAAGCGTATCGGTTTGTGCCCGCAAGCTAACGCCCTCTTCAATCGTCTAACAGTCGATGAGCACCTCTGGTTTATCCATGGTCTAAAAGGAGCTAGTGGTTCTTACAAGGTCGAAGGGCAACAGCTACTCGATCAGCTCAAGTTGGACGAGAAATCTGATGAGGTTCGTCTGATTCTACTAATAGCCAAGAAAAACTACGGGTTTCGCTTTTGTTTGTATTGCGCTATTGAAATTAACTTCTTCACTGAATATCTCGCTCATAAGCAACGCATTTAGCTTTCGAAAAATCTTTCCGGTGGTCAGAAGCGCAAACTCTGCGTTTCGATGGCTGTGATCGGCAACAGCTCAATAGTGCTACTAGACGAGCCGACTGCTGGCATGGACCCAGGGGCCCGAAGAGATGTTGAGGCTCTTCTGGAGACTATAAAAGTGGATCGGTGAGGAGTGTATCACTACTGAGTCCTTCAAGTTCGGAGCATTGGACAATTTTTAGAACGGTACTGCTCACCACGCATTATATGGACGAAGCGGAGCTATTGGGAGATCGTGTTGCCATAATGGCCAAAGGTCGAGTGTACTGCTGTGGAACGCCACAATTCCTGAAGAAAAGGTTAGTGGGAGCGCAGCTTCATTCCACCCTTCTGGTTGCCCTTCAGTAAAATTGAAGCCAGTGCCGATTAAGTGTCATGGATAGTTGCGGCTCAATTGTGAACGTAGCTGATAAGTAATTCCTCGAAGAAGAAAAAAGCAAGAAGAACCTTAAGAACACCATAAACAAAATCGCTCCCTGACAGTCACACCGCCCTGCGGTCTCTGTGCAACCCCTGGCTCACAAATCGCTTTTTCGCATCTCCCAGTAGTGGATATCATCCAATGCAAAGAAAAGAATACGAAAAACAACAAAAACACCGACGGAAAACTCGTAAAAAAGAAACTTCTAAAACTCTGCATACTTATTAGGGTTACAATAGCGTGCATTGTGTAGCTAGTCGAGTTTTGCAGCAAAAAATAACATCACTGGTGATTTTAATGCGTTTTACCTTGCGAGATGGGTTGCAGTTGACTGTATGTGCTCCTATGTGTTAAAATGTTATGAAGGAGAGCAGAATTACTCGTAGGAAGAGTGCGGTCAGCAAAAATGGACATGCAGCCGATTAATGCCCGCCGCCCCAACCAAGAACAACTGAGCGGCTCTGCGTCAGATGTGGAGAGGACATCTAGCAAGTGGCAACTCAGCGGGTGTTAGGACTAAAATTTCGGCGGCTGTAGCACCCTCCTCGCTCGCTGTGGAGTCGCGAAAGTGGGACAGTCTCTAGCTTGGGGGCTGACTACTTGCACAAGGAAGGGCGACCACGAATTACTTGAGTGTGGGGGTTGTCATTCAGAAGGGTCGTAAATTTGCGAGTACAATTGTGATTATGTGGATTTGATCTCAGTTTTTTTTGGCCTACTTGCATACTGATTGGCGCAATTGACGTCCAATCGCTAGAGGATTAAAGGGGCTACAAAAATACATTGAGCACTTACTAAAGTGTAGAAAATGCTTCTCTCTTCATAAAACCTCGGCATTGTTGTTAACTTTCATGTTGTAATGTGTTCTGCCAAAGCCATTCATGCCTAATTGCAACTACAATGAGTGGCATCGTTCCGCTCATGTGGTGGTGGACTGGCCTCTGAGGACGACGATCCCGTCGAAACGTCAGGCCAGTTCAATAAAGTCTTCCACCTACCAACCTCTTTGGCAGAACACATTACAACTTGAAAGTTCACAATAATGCCGAGGTTTTATGAAGAGAGAAGCTGGACACTATTAGACAGTGTAGAAAATGCATTCTGATAGGTCTTTGCGACTTGCACCGTCTAGACACCACCGCCATAACACGCTGGTCCTTCACCTTCTGGCCTCAATCCGAACGAATCAAATTCGCGTCCGCTCGGTATTCATGAAGAAAACGTTCCCAGTCTACTATCTACCCTTGGTCAGTTATCAGTTAGTTGGAGCACAGAGAGGCTGCAACTTATAGGTGGTTACGTATGGCCGCGCCTCAAGAAGCTCGAGTAGACGGCCGTCATTCTGTGCTGGTGGCCGACGTATACATTCCCCACTTCCGAGTTAAATAAGTCCAGCTTGAGAGCGAACATGCAAAATCTGCCCTCTACCATGGCAAGCGATATCCTTCCTCAAGACAACGTAGGTGTTAGCTTCCTCGACTACGGTATAATAACCCTACAGCAGCTCATATAGTAACATGGGATAGGTCGAAAAGTACCTCGATATCTGAGGGACTTCTAAGCTTTGAAAACCATCACAAGGTCCTGATATACCCATCTGCAGAAACCCCAGAAGATAGTCTCCACTAATCATGGATGAAAACATTTCGAATATTTTTTGATCTTTTTCTAGAACAACTCAATCAAAGTTTCGCAAGGACTTTTCGTTCAACCTAATATGCATCCTTGCATTGCGGGGTTTTTGTCAGTTTTTGAGTTCCTACAGCTGTCATCGCTTCACTATACAGGCCGGCGCGACGCAAAGTTGGACACCTGGATTTTGACTTGGACTCGGGTCGTGAAGCATTTCTCCTCTATTCAACGAGCAAGTACGGAAAGCGCAAGTCATGTTGAAGGCAGACTTCGCGGACAAAATAACTCCTCGGATGGACCGCCCGCTTCAGATCTTGTAGACGTAAAAGACTATTCCTCTATGTATAACAGTTCACATTACCGGTCACCCTCTCAGGTAATGGCCAAGTCTTTCGAGTCCAAAAAATCAAAAAATATTACAGAACTTTCCACCTAATTTATAATTAAACTAATATAATTTCTGCCTTCAACCTAATATTTTCTTCCCGATCTAATAGTTTCGTTGTTTACTTCGGATGACTACCCCTCATTGTAACTCTTCAGATTCGGAACTGGTTACGTGATGACGGTTGTGGTTGCTGAGAAAGCAAGCGCTGCTGACGTCGCTGGAACACTGACTCGCGTTGCGGAAAGATACGTTCTTGGGGCGGAACGAGGCAATGTGCACGGGAAACAATTTGAGATTATTCTCCCGAAGGAACACCAAGAAAAGTAAGTCTTTATACGACTTTTCTATTTCTTCTTCCACACATTTGAATATTTTTTGTGACTATTTGTCCGTTGGGTCAGTCGACAAAAACCAAAGTCCTGGAAGAACGAAGCAAATTAAGCACAGTCAAGTAACATATAAAGTGAAAAAAGGAAATGTAGGTATATTGAAGCCAACACTGGGTCAGAAACCGTATTTGATGTAATCCTTGGGATGTGCTGGGCGCGTACGACTTGGACGAATGTGTTTATTCCGAACGCGACGACGAACAAGTACAATACTCAAAGACTGGTCTTATATACGGCCAGTATAGGATGTTGATCAGGGATACCAGTGATCTAGTATCACCCTCACAACACCTCCCTCCTAGGACAAACATTAGATGTGTATGTCTTCTTCTTCGGATTGATTTGTAGTCGAACCGGCGGGGGTCTTGAGTGTTTCTGTTGAGCGACTGGAGTGGGCAGATTGGCATCTTGGATCGGCAGTTGGTCCCTGTTCGATCGTCTCCTTTTATAGGCTTCCTGGCGTTCAGATGTGGAAGCAGCGGCAAATCGAAAGCATCGATAAGCGTTGTCGTATTTGGCTGTGCAGGTACTGGGGCGCAGTTGATTGGCGTGTCTTCTCTGGAGTTGATCGTCGACTTGAACATCATACAGGGGAGGGGGCAAAAAAAGACACTTTTCTTCCTTGACTTTCAAGGCGCTATAAGTTACACTTTATTAAATTCTGATTGGACATTTCCACCACCATATTCAACAGCATATTGTATACTATCATGATACTCCGCCACAGCCTTCTGGACGAGCGCCATCGAGAGATTCTGCCACGCGACCATGATTCGGTGCCTGAGTTCAGCGAGATCGTTGATTTCTCCGCCACTGTAGACCACCCTGTTGAGCTCCGCCCGAACCGGGTAATTGAGGGGGGGGGGGTTAGGTCAGGTGACTACTTGGATATTCCGTCTTCTTCAGGTACTCAAGCCGCCCTTCCATTCCAAGTAGGCGAGAGTCCAATGCCCTTCGATTCCATGTGGTGGCACCCAATGCTGTAGCAGTACAAAGTTTCCAAGAAGGTACGGGCGATGGATGAAGGAAGGATATTCTTCCACGAGTTGGTCAATGTAACCGCCAGTGCTCACCTTCAGCCCGGGGTCCACGAAGAAAATATGGTTCCCCATTCCGAACTTCTGGTCCATACCATCAATTCGCGCCTTGGCGACTGCGGTGAAGATGATATCCTGGACCGTAGCGACGTTGTCGGAGCTGCTCGATGTTGGAGGTCTTCCAGATCAAGAGTGCCGGTCTCCAGGTAGCTGTCCATGGGTGGTTCCATACAAGTTTCGCAGCTGTTCGGAGCTGACGTGAATTCATAGACCCTTTTTATTCCGGCTGCGATTGGAGATGACTTCATATTTTGGTGTACATGAAGGTGATGGGCGAGAGCCTGCTCCTGCTTATCGAGGAACATCTTGGGTATCTTCCGCCCTGGTACTCGTATCCACGTCCTCTGTCTGGGCTGCGAAAACTTTGCTGATATGTGACTCGGTCGAAGTGTCTTTTTTCTTGCCCCCCCCCCCCCGTAGACACTGTCCATGTTGAAGTTTCGCTCGGCCTTGTGTCCATCTTGGGTATCCAGCACGGTAGTCGCGAATCCAGACATAATCACCTAGGCTTGAACCTTCTTGGCTTTGCTCCGTGATGAAGGTTGAATTGAGTTTCCATCTTCTGATTTTTTCTTCTCGGTTCTGACCTTGATTCCGACGGTTTCAGCAATGTGAGCGTAGAGCGTAAACGTCTTCCGAGAAAAACTTCGGCTGCTGACAATCCGCATAATGTTGAGCATGGTGTTGTGCAGTAGTTGAACAAACAGGACATTTGTAAAGCTTCTGTTGTTCCTTCCCCTTGAGTTTCTGACGGGTCCGTTTGAATGTATCTATGAAGCGTTCAGCTTGGCCATTGGATTGTGGGTGAAATGGTGGTGAACGAACATGTTTGATTCCATTACGCATGCAGAAATTCTTGAATTCTTTTGACGTGAATGATGTTCCGTTTCCAGTGACGAAAGTTTCCGGATAGCCAAATTGTTAGAATACCGGGAAACTGATACAGCTGATAGTTCCTTTGTGACGCTGTTAATCGCAATATGCTTTATGGCCACTGTTTGCAGTTTCCCTCAACTTTTCGAGTATTTGGAAAGGTCTAAGGATTCCCTGAAGATTTCCAGTTTCGGCTTGTCATTGAACACCCTCGAGCAGGTATGCTTTCCATTTCCGTTGCATGAAACACTTTACCGTCATTTTCATAGATGCAGCACCACCAAGTTTGTTTGTTCAGGTGTTCCTCAAGGTGGCTGAAAATACTGATCCCACCAGTATGATCGATTTTGTCGATGCGAGTATCAGTCGTAGTGAAGAGCTGATTCAAGCCCAACAAGGTGAGTTTTAAATTCCATCGGTAGCAACGCATGGCGTTTGTCTTTTTCCGGTTGTTTGGGGGTGTTCACTTTTTGCCAAAAATTTTTGGCAGGCAGCAGATTTCACAGGATTTCTCATACATGGCGAGATGACGATTTGGGGAACGCCCGATAGGGATTAGATGGAATTCTATGAAACCCCATCTTTAAAAACCACGCGTTCTGTCGAATCGCGCGTTCTTCGCATTCGCATGATGAATGCCGCCTAGCAGTAATTGGCGCTCAATGGCGCACTCATCAAATGTCACTCAAAAGTCTGAAATACCGGTCCATATTATATTATGAGACGTTTTGAAGTCAACCATAGAATACTATGACATATGCAGTCACGGAATTTTTTCCACATGAGCTGCATGGTTCCTTGTGTGTTCGTATCAGCGGCAGGAGAATGCATCGGTCCTGCACCGCAGGTAGTTGTGGTCAATTTCGTCCTCTTCGAAACACGTATCTTCAAAGCAGCGGCAGTCTTAATGGATCCTCAAGCTCCATCTCCACCCATGTAACTGGCTGGTAGAGAGTTTGAGATGAGGATTTGAAGCAAGCCGTGCCTGTGTGGTGGTGACGTCTTCTAGATAGTCCCAGCATTTGTGACTAGGGAAGGTCGTCAGGTCGAAGTGGCTATTTGCAATGAGATTTAAGCTCACGGGACGTGGTTTTAGACGCTGATCTCAAATCTGCCTTTGATACTTGCAGAACGATCCTTCGAACGGAGTTATGGCGCTTTTTCCTCCGCGTCTACACGCAACAGGGCATGGCGATCGCATCCCTAGTGCAGCTGATATTCTTTTGCTTCTTGCCGCGAACGTGGCCAAGAAGTGGTATGTGACGATCACTACTCTACATTAGCGCCTTTCCCCCAAAGCTTGCCTGAAAAGCAGTTTGCGTCTGCTTACTGGTGCGCTTGGTGCCTTGTGATCTATAGAATTTTGGATGTACAGGTGCCCTTGGCGCACAGTGCAGGCGTTTTCGCGCTGAGAAAGTGCCATATTCGTGTTTTTCAGGGCAAACTACACCTAGTTAGAGATTTCTAGCTAAATCTGGCATTTTGACCTGACCTCGAAATGTGAAGCAGCCATGGGTTAGTTCAGTTGATGTTCACACCTATTCAGCTTCAGATACATTCTCCTCGACTCGGTGTCCCTTCATTTTTAATGCAATAAACCTTCATAATTCCTTTCAGAGAATCGTTCTGAAAATTTCGAAGGCAGTGATTTGAAATGAGTGTTCATAAACACCATCCAGTGATATGTATACGTCTCTGTACAAATGCCCACTTCGAGCTGGCGACCATCCCTAGTGAGCGGTGTTTTAACTTGAAATCTGCTAATTTTTTGGCGAGGTTTACATTGTGCTATGCATTCCAGAAAGGTTTCAAAGGTTTCTTTAAAATTTCGAAAGTGAAATAAAGTAACACCGACGACTCACGAGGTACACTTCGCGACCTTCATTGAAACCGCAGAGCTCGTGCTGAAAAAAATCAATACATGCGTATTCCGTAGTTGATTTTCCAGAGGCTTTCATGAATTTAGTGCCGGTTTCTTTACAATTCGTAAAAATGCTGCCAATTTGCGGAGTGCTGTGAAGTGCGTCCGTGCTTTTGTTTCACCCTTTATTGTATTCGGAGGCATTATTCTTTCAGTGGATCGTTTCGAAGGCTGTACGCTGATCTTCTCCCAATTACGTGCTCTGTTCACTAAGCGATTCCTGTACTGTCTACGAAATTGGTCTCAGTTGATCACGCAGGTGTTAATTCCACTCGGAATCTTGGTGTTGATTGCGTACGCGTCTGGGATGCAGAGGCAGTTGAATGGGGACAAAGGTTTGTTTCGACTTTTTAATGGTCATTTTATTACATATTTACACACATTTACTGGTCGGTAGGCGACGCTCAAGCGCTCTGTGGTTCACATTTAATGTTCTGAATGACGTGCATGTGGTATCCACCCGTGTCCCAGCCACGTAAGGCTGTGTTCATACTTTGCGTCAACGTACACCAGCATTTTGAACGCGACTAGAAAGTGTAGGTATTTAACCAGTCACTAGACTACAGCTGCGTTCTGAGCGACTGGAAATTATGAATATCGATCTAGCGTTTCGAGCAAACTTTTGGACCTAAGCAGAACTACCGCAAAAACGTTCAAAACGCTGACGTACGCTCTCAAAATGTGTCAAGCCGATGAGTCGAGTGGCTCACATTACTGCTCTGATGAGCGGCAAAATTTACAAACTCTGGAAACGAGTTTCCCAACCAAAGGATCGTTAGACTTGGGTTTGTGTACGATTGCGTCGCAGTCAGTATCTGCCGGTCAGTCCATCCCCACACCCTTGGAATTATGGGTAGTGACTGTGTCTGAGTAACAGCCATCTGATGCAAACCTGTATCAGTCGGCTCGTTCGCCACTCACGGGCTCATAGGGATTACCAGGATTACCAAAACGCTGAAACACGGGTACAGCGATGCAGCACTTTCCGAGCTTCAACGGGACGGTAGCGTTTGCAACCACGTGGAACCGTAGAAGAAGAGTTCAAGGAGAGAAAGTGGTGCCTTTTTTTGCTGCAACGCTCTGTAATCCTACGAAATGAGTTCACTCTCACATGGTGAGCACTTTGAAACGGTAACGGTTTTGCCAGCGACTTTTTGTGAAGAGACTTCAAATCTGGGAACCGTACTCCAAGATTGGAAATATAAGCTCTATAAAGTCCGACATATAAAAAGGTTTCATTGCCCATATTGCGAATGTGAGTGTTGCAAAAGCATTGTGACACTTACATGATACATTTATGATACATTTATACATATAATGTGAGTATCAAATTTGAGATCTTCAGTGATAAAAATCGCAAGATTCTGCACCCTCGGTGCAGAGTTAGCAGTTAATCGTTACGTAAATCATAACAGGCCCATAATGCCAAGCATTCAAATTGGTTTTGTGCTTAGCTACCGTTTTATACCTGTTATAAACAGCCGAATTAAAGAAAGCGATCAATTCTCTCTTTGTCGCACGTTCGTCGCGTCCCGCTATCTCGGTGAAACTCGAAAAAAAAGGTTCGCCCCGTTTCGACGCATATGTCTCGCGCTCGTCGGAAAAAGGACCAGGAGCACAGGTGTGTTCACGTCATCCATCGTTAATCCTTGTTATTTTATTTTTCGCTATGTTTAGGTTTATGAACTTGGGCCCAGTGACAACTTAACCAGATGGGTAGAGCACTTGCCGAAGCAACTACCAGCTGCTGGATTTGGCGCGATATTCGCCCAGAACGCCGTTGACGTGCTCTTTAACTCCCGAGCTTATCACTCCTTGCCTTCTTCATTGAATGTGTATGACAATGCGAGGCTGAAAGTTGAAGTTGCTGGTAAGAAGGATTGAAATGAGCGTTTGTATGATAATTTCCTTGTGTTATGTAGCCCTTTTCAGCACCTGATGGTGTTATCAACACACAGTTGTACGCTTACACGCCCCATATCTCGGGAAGCGGCGGTACATCGCGCTTCGTGTCTGCGGGGATGGTCGACATGCGTGTTGGACGAAACTTCATAGTGTTGGCTTTAGCATTAGTAACATCGCCATTTGTTATATTTTTGGTGGAAGAGCGTGTAAGCAAATTTGCGCATCAGGTCAGTTTGTTGTACCGAATTTAGATGAGTCTGTGGATTTGTATTCAGCATGTGTTGTGCAAAACATTTTTCTTTTGAAATGAAAAGAGGTAGAAGTTTTTGCAACAGAATGATCCCAAAGAGCATCAATATATTATATTACGAACAAGGTTCAGAGTCAAGGGCGGTGGTGACGTCCGTTCCTCCAAGTGGTGCCACCGGGACCTGCTCGCTTTTGCGGGCTGAGCTGAACACGGACGAACTCGAAAGCAGGCGACAGGCCTTCGTGACGGGCCGGCTTACGAACACCCCATGTCACATCATCATGTTCAACTATGCCTTATGAATTACGAGATAATGCTACGGCGTCCGCGGGAGCCGACGCGCACTCGTATGGCCCGGCGAGTGTGGAAAGTATGCGAGGGTCCTCGTTGCAAGGACGGCATCGGGGGCAACCAGGCTAGTCCGAAAGACGTGCAATGTGTTGAAGGCTCGTATTGCGACGCTGAATGTAGGGACGCTGACTGGACGCTCGTACGAGTTAGCAGAAGCCCTAGAGCGTAGGAAGATCGACCTCTGTGCCGTGCAAGAGACGAGATGGGCTGGCTGCAAGTCGAAAGAGTTAGGCCGCGGCTTCAAAGCCGTTCTTTGTGGCGGGCCGAAAACTACAAGTGGTGTGGCCGTGATCGTGTCACAGCGATTTCGCGATACGATTGTGAGCGTAGATCGTTTCGACGACCGTTTAATGAAGATTGTTGTCGCTATTGAGCAACGACTTTACCACTTCTTCTCTGCATATGCCCCACAAACTGGATGCTCTGAGCAGTCCAAGGACGAATTCTGGGCTCTGCTGGACGAGAAGACAGCTGAAGTGCCACCAAAAGACGGTATCATTGTAGCCGGCGATCTAAACGGACACGTGGGCGCTGCAAAAGACGGCTATACTTGTCATGGCGGATTCGGTTACGGTTCCCGGAACGCCGATGGTGAGCGAGTCCTTGAGTATGCAGAGTCGCATAACCTCGTCATTCTGAACACACGGTTTCGTAAACGTGATTCTCATCTTATCACGTTCTACAGCGGGAGTACCAAGACCAGATAGACTTCGTACTCATCAGGCATGGCGACCAAGGACTCGTGACAGACGCCAAGGTAGTACCGTATGAAACGGTTGCCACGCAGCACCGCCCACTTATCTGTACGCTCAGACTTGTAGCTCCCAGATCGAGGCAGGCAGAACGATGCGGCCCTGAAAGAATAAAGTGGTGGCGACTCAAGGAGCGGGAGGCAGCTGTGATTTCTCGTATTCGACTACCTGAAGTCACAACTGTTCAGGAGACCTGGAACAAAGCCGTTACTCTATAATCCAGGCCGCCCGCTCCGAACTCGGCACAACGAAGCCTGGAAGGCGGAGGATCGACAAAGAGGCATGGCTGTGGACGGACGACGTCAAAGCGAAGGTTCGAGAAAAGAAGAGGCTCTATCACGCATTTCTCGATCACAAGTCGGCTGACAACTTCGCGGCAGTACCAGGAAGCGAGGAATGTAGCAAAGACGGCCGTGGCTGCTGCGAAGGCCGCTCACTTCGATGCAGCAAAAAGCTGCGCGAGACGCGTCGAAAGGAGGCGACGGTGAGCGGTACGGCTGTATTGGACTTGGCTAAATCTCGTCACGTCACCGAAGACATTGAGAAGTTTTTTGGCATAAATGATGAGAATGGCCACCTTCTGATGGACCGAAAAAGGGTATTACAACGATGGCGTGAATATTTCGAGGGCATCTCAACGGTGGAATTCGCCCATCCCGCTCTACCCTGCACAGCACCAACATATGGTCCCGTTCAGAAGATCACCATACAGGAAACAGAAGCTGCTCTGAGGAAGATGAAGTCCGGCAAAGTTACAGGCCCCGACGACATAGCAGCTGATTTGTGGAAGTCACAGCGCTGGTTTTCTGCGGGTTGGTTGACGAAACTCTTCAACCAGATCGTCGAAGAGAAGAAGGTGCCCAAGGACTGGCAGCAGAGCGTGACGATCCCGATTTGGAAGAAGAAGGGCAGCCCGGCAGATTGCTCAAACTATCGTCCAATTCGCCTTCTTTCGCACACCATGAAAGTCTTTGAGCGAATTATTGACGCCCGCGTTCGTGATATCGTCCAGCTTTCCCAAACCAATCAGTGTGGCTTCGTGGCGGGTTGTAGCACCGTCGACGCTATACATGCCGCTCGCCTACTGCTGGAGAAACACCGTGAGAAGCGAAAGCCCGTGCGCATGTAGGCCTTCCTAGACGTGGAGAAGGCATTGATGCGGGTGGCCGCGTGATGATTATACTGGTACGGCTTTGAGGCAGCATTGGGGGCGTGCCCGAAGAGCTCATTGAGTGGGTGCGCATCCTTTACTCATGCCCAGGGAGCCAAGTTCGCTCACCAGCGGGTGTCTCAGTGGAGTTCCCCATCACCGTCGGGGTACATCAAGGCTCTGCGCTCTCCCCACTTCTTTTCGTGGCCGTCATGGATGCCATTTCACGAGATCTTCAGAAAGAAGTGCCATGGACCCTGCTTTACGCTGATGACGTGATGCTTGCTTGTGAAGATAAGAGCGCACTGGAACAGCAGGTGCAAGCTTGGGCCGAGCGTCTGGCTAAGTTTGGACTCAGGTTGAACGTCAAAAAACGAGTTATTAGGTTGTCCGGAAAGTTCTTAGCGTTTTGGGTGTTTAACTTTAAACGATCATAACTTTCTTAACACTCATCGGATTTAATCCAAATAAGCACCATTCGAATCAGCACACTTTTGCCAATGTGGCAGCAGTCGAGAAATCCCATCAAAGAAAAAACTGGGTGGTCGAGAATCCACGAAATCTGCGAAGGTCTTTTTTGCCTGGTCCTGTTTGATGAAGTATTTCTCAGCAGGAAGTTCTGAAAATGTCTGAAAAGGTGACAGTCGGTTGGTGAAAGGTCTAGAGAATATGGTGGGTGAGGTAGAACTTCAACTCCCAATTCGTTCAATTTATGGATAGTGATTTGTGAAACGTGTGGGCGGGCGTTGTCATGCAAAAGAATCGGACCCTTTCTTTTGATAAGTGTTGGCTGCAGCTGACAATATTTTCGGTACATTTGGTCGGTTTGTTCACAGTAGGGTTCTGCTGTGATGGTTTGGCCTGGTGATGAAAAGTTATAGTGGATTACAACAGCCGATGACCACCAAACCTGACCAGAATTTTTTTTTTTCGGGTTCGGCTTTGAAAATTACTCGGTGGTTCCTCCAAATCCA